TTTTCAATTTCCTCTGCTCTTTCTTAAAGATTTTAAAAGTATTCTGTCCCCTTTTATAGCTATAAGCCACATGGCCGGTAATTGAAGCATTGCAGTCAAAGCAATGCGTCAGGATGTTGTATAAGTCAGAAAGCATATTGTCAACAATATTATTTTGGTGAGATAGGATTCCTATGGTGAGCATCGAAAAAAGGTTCAGTGCGCTTTCAGGTTTGTTGATCAAACTTCCTGCTTCAGTACATTGTTGGAGCTTTAGAGTTCAATTGTATAGTGTTTAGAGAATGAATAATACTTGTAGGGTCAGTGAAATGTCACTGAGCCCTAGCCAAATCATCCGGCAGTTGGGTCACTGAATATCGAACAGATCATCGATCCCCTTCAAGGTCAAGGGCAACCAACGCGCATAAGTCAATCGTATGCCATGTGCTGGCCAATGTGGTGATGGTCCCACTATATTCTGTGTACTTATTCTTATTAATATATTCCCGTAATAACGTCCTTTGTGCTGTACGTTCTTCAAAGCGTCCATAGTACCTTGATACGACGAAGTGGTTATCTACGTTGTGTTGACCGCGAGGTGTGATTTCAACTTAAACTTCTGGTCACACCACTCCCGTCTAATAAGAGTAGGCCCCCAATCATCCGACGTAGATCATCCACGTTGGTGATTTACATGCTCAATATGACTGATAACCGACGTGCATTGAGATAGAGTCTATATTGATTATAAGTAACAGGTCAAATATATATTTGACCTGTATATATATATATTATTCTTCCTAGTCGATTTTCAGACCTGTTGGACCAATCCACAAAGTTCTGATGTTTCAACTAACTTGTTAAATCGACCAGTTACCGAAGTAGAACTCCAGGTTAAAATCACCTCCGATGATTTTAAGCGTATGCAGTTGGTGCGAAGAGATGAAAAATATGTTTGTTGGTAACTTACCAGAGTCAGTATTTACGTGAGGTGGTTTGCATATGTATCCCGCCAGTAGGTAATTTTGCAGTCCACAATTTATGGTAACCTGAATGGAGTCATCTATAGCATCAAGACATTCATTCTTAAATTTACACGCCTGAACGTTTGAACTGACATTGATAATTGTACCTCCTTCCATTCCGTGACGTCTGTTGGTTCTATAGAAAACGTAGTTATCTACGTGTGAGGAGTAATCGGATATAGGTAATTTGCACCACGTTTCCGTAATAGGTACAATGCTTGGATCTATAAGGAATAAAAGGATTTTAAGATGAGTAATTTTATTAGACAGAGAGCGGACACTGAATGAAGAAATAAGAAGCCGAGAGGTGTCATAATGAAGCAGGCTAGAGTATAGAATACAAGTGGTAGTTCCATGAATACTCGAGGGATTGGCTAAGGTAAGAGTTATTCTCTGTGATGGAGGAGATTATGCAACTTTGTCATCATTTATGATATATTCACCGTTGCCGACAGAAAAGCCAGGGGAACCGCAACAAAGTCATCTAATTGTCATTCATTATAATATCTGATAGACGTATAGTGTACATCTTGGAGGCCGGACCAAGGAGGGTATTGGGTCTATTTGTGAGACCAAGTGGTTGTTTATAATTCGAATTGCTTTCTATACCTGATGTATGTGTAACACGTTCCAGGTGTTTATTTCCAAGGTTTATGGTTTGTTTTAGCTCCTTCGCAGTTTGGGGAGAATCTAGTGTTGTTAAACACACTCGCGATGATTTGCAAGGTCCGAATATATCGACGCTCAGTGTGTGATCGGTTATATAGATGTTATGACTATTTTGCCAATTAGCCGTTGCACAGTTACTGTATCTATGTATTGCACCGTCAGAAATTCGAACGGTATTATCTGATTTGTCAACAACACAACTACTTGGGGTTGGATCTCAGTCAACGTTTTTTAGGAGGATGGATGGAAACTACATTGGGGTTACTTCCTTCTGGATTTTAAACGTTAAGAGACTTAGGAGACCGTATCGTTGGTGGCATATTTGTAGTCAGAGGTCCTATTAGCATCAAACTTGATTTTATGACTTTTGGGATTATGATACTTTTGCGAATTTGACGATAGTGATCTGTAACCAGCCCTTCTTGCTTTGTTCTGGTATGGTGTTCTGTCCGAGAGAATCTCAATATCCTTGAAAATCTGTTTCTGTCTCATCGTATTGGAGAAAGTTAGGAACTCAGTGGCGTCTACAGATGAGTTTAATTTGTACAAGATCGGTGAGTGCATTCCAGAATGACTTCTTCTTAATCTTGTGTACACACATGGTACATGTGTCATATTGTTGGCTCCAAGAACACTAGACTTGGTATTTTTAAAGGCACATGTGTCCGTTATATTAAGCACAACTCCATTGCTAGATCGCCTCATTCTTTCAAATACCTCAGAAGCAATGCGATCTGCGAAATTATTTTTGTCATTCATCTGATATAGAGCCTCTGCGAGGTTGAGGTTGATGAGATACTTAAGCGAATTGAGAATGTTCGTATCAACCTGTAACTTTCCTATATCATCCGTTCGGTTTAAGATGTGAGTATCATGATTGTTTATCAATAGACACTTCAACATGTCTGGTATGGGGGGAACTGGCATAAGTTTGTCTGCTCCTGGATGAACGGAGTGAACCGTTCCCTTGAAACTGCCGTAAATCGCGTCGGTAGTGTCGTTAAGCCGTGTCATTTTCCTACGTTTGGCTGGACGCCTGGAAGCAGGGGCTTTCACTTCTCCTTGAAGCATGATAAGCAAATGTTAAGTAGCAGATGGATTGAATAATGTGTTGGAAATAGAAACGACTGGAAAAATCGAGGCCGATGGCCCGAGAGAGTCTGGAAATCAAAAACTATGTTAGAAACAGTGAATTTATCGTGAGGATTGGCGAAGATGTCAAATACAAGATAGGAAAATGGCAGGGAGATCGCAGTAGAGATGTCGTATGTATATTGGTACATGTATGGAGGGAAAATAGAACACAAATGTGAATATTGGGTAAATTTTAACATGTATATTACACGGATAGTTTTATAAGTTAAAGTATACTAGAACCGTAGATTTTTAGTCCAAGACGATCAAAGTAGATACGCTATGTAGTACATACATAAAATGAAAGTCTTCACTAGTTAAATTTGAAGGTGCAGAGATAAGTGGTTTTTAAGAGTAAATGACGCATACGCAGATCGTAATTCCAATATTTGTATCTGACTAGAGTGATCACTTGAGGATCTGATCAGTCGAAAGAATTACTTTATTTAGTTAAGTACTCGAGGGTAAAATAGTGGAACAAACAGGAGTCTACTGATGACTACAAAATTTATATCAATATAAACATGTCACAGCAATCTCAACGGAAAGACAGCCAGTCGATACTCGAACATTGTGTTTTGCGTACGTGTGAGGTAGCTTGTTGCACCATGGAATATAGACTCGGATTAGTAACTATGGGAGAAATATAGAGTAGTCCACGTTGTCTCGCTGATAACTTTGTCCGAAATCATACCTATTCTTGGATTGTTTGATTATTGTCTCATCGTTGGAGATTTCAACGCGCATCATACCAGGTGGACAGCGATTGCAACTTCAGGTGGACGTTCTGACAGCAGCCTCCTGTCAACCATTACTGGATGTGCCATTGTACACCGTATCATAGAAAACCGATCAATATTAACCTGGAACACTGTTCGTCATTGTTCGTCTTTACTCACCACTGAAGTGACATCGCTGACATTTAGTACCTCTCCCCACTAACAAAAAGTGATCACGTTATAATGTAATTTAGGTTCCGGATACATAAAAACAGTACCTCCTCCACCCAGTCCCAATACCTGTCGGACTAAAATTCCGGCCATCAGACAGTGTACTATTTCAAAAGCTGGTTCGATCGAGGAAAAATGGAATAGGTTTGAAGCCTTATGCCAGTATGTAACATCGCCGTTAACCGCTGGTCAACACGTAGACTATCAAATTGCCCTATATGGATTGACAAGGAAACCCGAAAGCTGCTAAGGCGTAGGAATTACCTCATGAACTCGTGCTTGTCAACAGAGCACGAACTGTTTAGGTGTGGATACCAAGAAATTCAGGGTGTATGTTAAAAGGCCGTGAATAGATGATACACCACATACAAAAAACAGTTAGCGTATGATGCTCTTCCTTGCCGAAATCGATTGTTTTCATACACTAGACGAAGAACAAAACTCAGTGAGAGTATTTTTATAGTACTGTTGCATGAAAATTGAGACATATCGGCTGAATCATATCTGGACACGGCTGATGCGTGATCAAACTATTATTATTATTATTATCATCAGCTTTATTCAATATTATATTTTTGGTACAATATAGAATTCTCAGCGCAAAGTATTTCAACATGTTTCCGTTTCTTTCTTCTTGGTCGGTCCTGGCGATAAATATTGAGTGATCACCAGTTAGATGTTAGCAGTTCAGTAAATGAACATATGAATAATGTGCATTCTTTTCGTTGTATATTGCCAGCAACCACATTGTCTCTTATTGAGTTTTTTGTAACTTTGACAACGAAAGATTGTACACTTTTCAGAAACGCAATCGAATAGGTTATGCGATTAATAGACATAATGATATATTAAAACAAACAAAAATAGATAACTTGTTGAAATATCTAGATGGCAGGAACAGGTAGCCCAGATGCTCAAGCAAACCTTATATTGGTATTCTGTATCTTTAATAAATATTTGCGTGGTAAAGAACCAATCATCTCGAAAGCCATGGCAAGGAGATTCAAAAACCGCGATCTCATAAACTCAGGATGGTATTCACTTTTTCTTATCTAGTAGTCAATAGTTGTAATACCCTACCAGAACAAGTGATATCACTCATATGAATGAACATTTCAAGGAGAAGCTAAACGTTCACTGTAAATCAAACTGTAAATATTAACGCATGTTCATCAATCTGCTTTCCTTGTTACTGAAGATTAAAGATTTTGGATATTGGATATAGGTTAGATTTATGAGGCGCAAAGGTTGATGGTAACGTTGTACTTTTAAAACGTGGGCATCCAGTCATCTATTGTTTCTCTATAAATGGCTCGTGAAGTATGTGTTTTCGTACCATATGTGTATTATATTATTTTAAAGCTCGTTATGAAAGAGGAGCATTTATTTTGAATGAATACGTGATGTTGATATCATCACGAAGGATTGTTTTCTTTGTATAGCATAGAATTCACAGCATATAATACCTCAACAAGTTCCTCTTAACCTCCTCATATGTCTTGGTAGATATTTAAATGCGTAAGGAAACTAGTAAATAAAACTAGACAAGCTATTTGTAAGAATATTAGAATGCTTACAATAGGTCCCAAGCTCCCAATTTTGGGGAAAATTTGGCACATTTTAGGGAAATGTTGGGGAAGCCGCTATAGTAAACTTTGGGGAAATGGCACAAAACCCCAAAATTACCCTTTAACCTTGACTTCGGCAGTTTCCCCGAAATACCCCAAGTTTTCCCCAAAATTGGAAGCTCGGGGTGGTAAGCAGGTTCGAGCTAATGTTTAATGGTTATGTACCTACATGTTTTTGCGCATTCGCCGAATAAATGAAGATAAATAAATTATTTCCTTCTCAAGTACCTCCATAAGAATCCTTCCATAATGTGGGCGACCGGCAAGTAAAAACAACCCTCATACCTCGAACAGCACTCAAGATCACTGTATTCATAATCAATTTCCCTCTTCAATTCCTGTTATTCCTCCCAACTCGACTTTCAACTCTAAACTTCCTCTTCAAGTGTCATCATGGCCAATGATCTAAGTGAGCAGAATACATTTATCCTTTTTCTTCCTCCAAATTGTGAGATTCTAAATCCCTCATATTTTTTTTGTTTTTACTTCACTACTTTATATTTTGCTTTCCAATCGTATCTTCGATGCCTAATCTTTCCTATTATCACTAATACTTTTAGTACCCCTTCTATTCTAGGATTTGGTCTGATAATTTTATTTCTGTGCTAATGTGATATGACAACATGAATTGATGTACATGCCTACCTGGCTCTACGTTGTTGCTGACTGACTGACTAAACTTCTATTCAGCCAGTCATAATCCGAGTGGAGCTTAGGACATTTGCGCCTCAACCCATTAAACTCTCACTAAACACTGTTCACCTTGTTTAGGAAACATCACCAATTATAGAGATTAAGTTTTAATCGTTTATTATCTCGATCATGTCAAAACAATAGTTTTCATTTTCGATATCTTGTTCTTTTTGTATGTTTTGTACTTTCAGTGGGGTATTGTTTCGACAGCTCTCCAGGAAGGGAGACATGAACTTGTGGTTTCTGGAAAGGAAATTTCAGAAATGATCGAAACGGTGGGGCTTGACCAAAGGATTTATGATCTAAAGAAGCTCAATTTTCTGGAAATTTCACATACTTGTTTAGAATTTCTGTCCGATGATATATCGAAGCTTTCAAATCTTGCGCAACTATGCCTTACATCAAACATGCTAGAAGCTGTCCCATCTAGTCTTGGATCTCTCCATTGTTTACGATCTTTGGACTTATCCTTTAACAACATTTCAATGATCCCCGACATTTTCAACCATTTGCCTAATCTATCTAGTCTTATTTTATCTGGTAATAAAATACAAAATATACCATCTGTTCAAGGGTTAAAATCACTACATGAATTCTCAGCTTCTAAGAATCAATTGACTGTATGTTATCTTAGGTTTTTTTGTTGACTGTTTCGGCTTTTAGTTACTTCCTGAAGGAATCGAGTTGCTAACTAATCTGGCAGTCTTGGATGTTTCATATAATAACATTTCTAATTTACCGAAGGATTTGTTTAATTTATCAAGTCTCAAGAGTGCGAACTTCTCAGAAAACTCTTTAACTGATTTTCCAGCCAATATTCATCGTTGTCGCAAACTAAATGTTTTAAAGATTCATGGAAACCCTTTTAAGGATAATCGGTTGAAAAGGCTTTCTGTCGATGAACATTCACCAACCGCGCTTTTAGCTTATCTTCGTCGTTTGGACGAAACAGGAAGCAAAAAAGGAAGGAAAGTTAATGACAAAAATTCGTCACTGAAAATTTCAACCGAACCTGAAGAAATGAATAATTCCATCACTCGACTACCGGAAGTTACGGGAATTTCAATACCGCATATTGTCATTCAGCGCCCAAGTGACGACGAAGTATGTTTGTTCCCCTACAATTCTATCAGTATTTCGGCAAATTCTTGAGATTATTTCAATCTATAAATTGGTTAAATAGTTTTATAAATTGTATATAAATTATAACGCCTATATCTGTCTTTAACTAATAAGCCATAATGTGAACACAGATTCTGCTTGAAATTATTTACACTGAAAACCTAACAAATCAATAACACTAATACTAAATTTCCAACGGATTTATAATATTTTTTAACTCAGTCCTGCCTAATCTGAATTCGTCGAAAGATTGCTGTTAATGAGGTCATCCTAAAATTAATGTAACTAAGATTTTGTTTTCAAATGGTGTTTTAGCTAACTACATATTAATAAATCGTATAATTAGGATTTCAGTACTAAGATTTTCTAATTATTGTACTCTACATTCTTGTTGAAATTGTTTACTTGATTATTTCCGTTGAACGAAACTGACATTCTAATATATTATCAACAGGTTGTTTCAAACCTTTGAGTAGTTATGTTGCTGTCAGTTGATACTGTCCTACTTTTTGCATATTTGGTATCATTTTTAAGGTACTTGTTGATTCAAATACAAGTCAGATTCAGTTTCACTACTGTGTTTTGTATAGGTGAATAATTTTAGTTTGGTTTTTAACATGGAGTAAAGTATAGATATAAACACTTGGAAATAAGGAAATGTTAATTAAAATGTCATAAGAGTTCTGAATATAACAGGATATGCTAAATATATTTCCAATAAAAAAGAACTAGCACTAATCAGTCTCTTGAATAGGGAATAGGTTTTTTCAACTTCTCTATGTGAATCTTCCGTATGAACCAACAACACTGGATGTTTCTTTTTTGTCCTCTTAGTTTCTTACAAACACTACGTGAATCCAATCAGTAGGACTTCTCTGTTTAAGGCTAACACTACTGAAGCCTAGATTTTTATATTAGTGTGGCAAATAACGTCACCAATAAGCTTACATTTGGTTAACATTCAATCATTTTTAAATTAGATTTAAAGAATAATTATTTGACCATCCTGTCTATTGCTATTGTATTTGCTAATATTTTCAGGTTTGTGTAATTCGTCATTATTATACTGTTTTTTAAATACTTTAGGAATATCAAATTAATCAGACTCACTCAGTGAAAACTGGCCCACGTCCTTACATCGTCGCCTGTACGGTTCATGGTGTAGAATTTCCTTCTGAAAGTAAACTGAAAGCTTTTCTACGAGCTCAAGAAAATTGGCATCGTGATATTGGCCAAATGCGTCATCATGCAACTTTAGCTACTCATGATTTACAACTAATCCGTTTTCCGCTTGTTTACACTTTAAAGGAAGCAAAATCATTTCTAGTAAGTAAATATTATTGTAAATATTATTATATTACGTCTAATAATCTTTGTTTCTAGTTATCATAATGAGTGTTATATACTTTTCTCCTTTGATTATAAAAATGAATTCCCCTAAAAATCTTTTGAAACGTAAAAGAGTATCATCAGTCTATGGGGACAGTAGAAGTGCTTCATATCAGTAAGTATTTTCAAAAGTAATCTTAACAAAAGATAAGCAAATGATCAAAAAATAAGTTCTCTAATATAAGCTGCCAAGTTTCAAAACAACACATTAAGAGGGAAGTAGAGAAATAAACGTACATAACAAAGTATGTAAATTAAATTAATACCGGGAGTAGTGAAGAAATAAATGGGAAAGACTTTAAAAATAACGATTAGATCGGTAAAAGGCGGTACAAAATTCCAATGTAATTTTAGTCTAATGCATTGGCTAGAGCGTATCAGTTTCATATGCCCACCGCTTTACGCAATTTTATCCAACAGTCCTAAGTACTTGGAAGACATCACATTGTTACACTAGGAAATGAACTCAATGAGAATTAGATTGTTTCGCTCACAGTGTAAATGGTGTAAGTTAAAGATATTATGACAAGGCTTTTTAAATAGGTTTTTTGAATTTTTTAAACTACGAATTTCTCAATTCTAATGTAATATTCTCAGGTAAGTAATGGTTGTTATGCTACGGCAGATGTTGATTTTCACGAAATCTGAAGCATCATATTATGGAGCGATAGAAACTCATTTGAAACGTTCTTATTTTTGCTCAAGATATCCATAACAAATGGTAAATTTGATCATTGAGCTACTAGGTTACAAACATTGATTCAACTTTTACTCAGTAAATCTGATCAATAGCTCTCAACAATTCATACTTATCTACTCTTAAACATCTAGTCTTTTTAAGGTTTCTGGAATCTCATTTTCATAAATGAGCTATATTTATTTGTTATAAGGGTTTTTTTTAAAAGATTATTTTTATCACATGTAATTTTACTCTAAATAGAAAATTACAAACATTATACAGAATACTGATATTAAAATCTTGTTGATTCAAACAGCCTGTTCTCCATTACAATTGTTTTGTATTGTGTGAAGTATAAAAGTTTGAATGTATTTGTCTGAAGTTTACCGGATGATTTTCTTTTGTATATCACCAATGCTTACATCAAAACAATTGTCTTAAAGTCGAATGTATAAACCTGTATTTGATTTTGATAGGGTACATTAATTTCATTAACAGTATATCTATCAATAGTAATTGTAAACGTTTATGAAAATTTTATTTAGGCATTATAGTATATGCCTTTTATTTTAACATGTTTGTATATATGAATATAATTTTGTGTATACATTTTTATTTTTATAACAGATTCATCCGTTAAATAGATCTGTTAATGGTACTGGTGAAACATTTTTAAGACAATTAGTTCAAGAAGCACAGTTAGATAGAAAATCTCGTAAACAAACAAAATTTAGTCAAGTTTATCGTTATTTGAATGTATTGGATATTGAAAGTGCAATAGCTTCAAATGTATTCAGTGATGTGTTGGTTCCTATTGTTGTGGATAGTACACCAGTGGTTATCTCAGTCCCTCCACTTACCAATAGTCATCACACACGTGTGGGTTATTACTGTGGTTTTTACATATTGCTAATAAATAATAACCTTGGTGATTATCAAAGTAAAATTCATTTTCTATTATAGCTATAATAAGTGTGTGTAAACAACGGTCGCTCACATCGGGTAGCATAAATATCTAGGTTAAACTTTGATTAGTTCTACTCTGTTATTTTCTACTCTGGCTCGTTTTATCCTCAACAACTGTGCAGTATCATTGTTTTTTACACAGTGTTAGCTAAAACTGTCATCATTAACTTGTGTAGTAAGTTGCACAGAATTACATTCAAGTCGATCCTATCCGAAATGTATAATAGGTAGTAAGGCTAATTAGACTACATAAATAATATTATTTCAAGGTAGAAATACTGTTATGAAGTATTGTTTTATGAACAGGTTTATGGATTGTTAAAATGAAAGAAATGCATGTTATTTGTTCGATGAAATTTGCTTGTAAAAGGCAACTAAGCGATGTTTTCTCACAATAGTGAAATATTAACGTCTAAGGTTTATTCTTTCTCTTTGCATGTACAATATTATATTAATAAAATTATTCTTAGGGACCATTGTAAATTAGAGTTATGAACCAGTCCACTTATTAAAACTCAAGGTATATTGCTGATTGATATAATATATGCATGTTGAGTCTAGAGAACCATTAGCCAATCATAACTGACTTTTCGAAACAATGCATTATATCATAAATACTCAAACAACTGGATCAATATATTTTGTTGAGATTTCTGCAGGTCAGAAACATGTAAAAACTGTAAGCTAATACAATTTGGTGTTATTATTGTTATAGAGTGAAAATCTAATTGTGAATGCAACTATTGTACTAAGTTAGATGACCGGAAATAATCGTAACATTGCTTCAAGTAACTTTTTCCTCACAGATAATATCCCGAACCCAACATTACTGCTTACGCGATAAGACAAATTCATGAGGACATTAATAACCAAACATAGCCAATTATTCCGTGTTCCTTTTAATATCGAACAGAGGATCATTAAGTTGTTACTGAAAAAAAGTTAACATAAATATTACAGTAGCGTACTATGCATACATTCTATCCTTGTGTGTTATTGTAAATCGCCTGACTACCATCTTCCGTAAAAATGATTTAATTGATTAGTAGGATTCTTAAGTTATTCATATCATCTTTGTTTTCTAGGTTGTTGTTATTGTTGTGATTACTTCTATTAGGCAGAAATAGATCATGCTTAGACTCATTTTGTGTTGTCGCTTGTTATACTTCCTACTCAATTTTCTTTTATATTTATAGTTAACTGTAGACACACATAATATACTGATTGAAGTTTCTGGAATCAATTTACCTTTATGCAAACAATTTGCTGAAGTAGTCATCGCTTGGTTATTAGAAAATGCTTGTCCACAATCAAAGGCAAATAAATCCAGTGACAAACCAAATACCGGGGAAGTTAATACAACAGAACAATCACAGCTTGTTGACGAAATGGATAAAAGGTTAACACTGAAGTCGATTGTCGTTCCACCTAACTCTCTTGTGGTACGCCCAATCCGTGTTGTCGATGTTGATTTCGATTACAATCTATGTGTCATGTTTCCATCACGATCGGATTTAACTGATGCAAAGTTTAATACCATTCGTTAGATATATTATTTTTATTACTCATATGTTATCAGAAACGAATTTATATCTATACAGATACTTAACAGAGTGGAATAATTATTTTTAACTTTTATTCATTATTGATAATAAGTTTTCTCGTTTAGAGATCCCCATCATATTAAGAGATTAATTATATTAGTCTTTTAATAAGTTTTCTGTTTATGACACGTTTCTTTTATCACCATTAACCGTCATCTTCGTTATTGTTACTGGATCATGTTTCTCATTTAAAAGCAATAAACATGTTTTAATGTATGTCTGTTTGTGATTTTGTAAATTTGATTCTTTATTCTATTCATAACGTCTTTATTATGGTTAGGGAGACATTATAATGACTTTTCTTCATATGGAATTTGGGGAATCGAAAAAAATAAAATAAACTGTTGGTTTATCACTTATCTGCTTGTTGTTTTATTTTTGCTGACAGAAATTTTCAGAGTATTTATCTATTAATTTAACCTTATTTGGTGACTGAAAGAAAATCATCAGCATAACAATGTAATCATGCGTGTAGTTTTATGTATCGGTTGTGAGCTTCACATGTTGTAAAAATTTTGACAATTATATTTATAACCATTCACTAACTGTATAGGTAGGATTATTGAATAAAGTAAAATTCGTCTCATAAAACACAACATTACTATAGTGATGAAAGGAGACTTCGGGACCCTTTGAATGGAACATTCAAATTCAGTTCCACTTACTTTGCTTTAGGCATGCTTTAAGTTTCACTAGCCTTCAACACAGTAAAGTATGACTCGTAGTTGATTGTATAAAGTTATTCCTAATAAATGAGTTACATAAAGTGAAATAGAGGTAAGTCATTGGGAATTACGACTTGGCTTACTCATATGATGCACTTAGGTGAGGAACTGACTTAATTCATAACAAAATCATCTTGAATGAGATTTTCATTGTCTATAAAGTCTTATTCTTTGGAATTGTAACTACTGTCTCTAGAGATAATAACCCAATCTGTTTCAAAACATGCAAAGATATTCTTTCAGTAAAAGTGACCGGATACCTGCAATAAGCACTTTTATTTTTAATATAAATTATCTCCCTATCAGTTTAAATGCTGTTGACTGACGTCAACTATATGAAATCATTGAAACTCAGTGAGCAGTGAAAAATTACATTCAGTTTACGATATCTCAAGTTAAATTATGTTTCTGATGTGCTTATCAATTAACAAGTCGAAAGTATCTTACCAATCATGAATCTTAAAATAGGATGGTATTAATATGATGTTTCCGTACGTTTATCAGTATTAAGTTTCTTCAAATTAATTGAATTTTGGCATGATACATTAATTAGGCGTTAACCATTGATGTGATTGTTACTGTTATCGGTAAAATAATAAGTTTTCAGTTTACATTTAAATGTTAAGAGCCATGTTAATGATTTAAATATTCAATTAATGGAGAATTAATTATTAACATGTTTATTATCCCTAAACTTATATTTATTCATTCCACTAGATTGACTGACTATACATACACTTAACTCATTCTCCCTAAATTATTTAGACCATGTATAACTTGTTGTCCATCTCTGTAAAAATGATATCATTTTAAGTAATGATTAACCATAGATGTTTTTCTTAGCAACATTTTAGCTTACTGTATGGAAATACTGAACTGATGCTTTTAATAATCACTTCCATTTTACTACTGACAGATTGAATCGATCTAACATAGTACATACTTTATTTTGTGTAAATTATGTTGTTCGTATCTTTTCTGTTCTACCGTAGTGAAATTTCAGTTCCGTGTTATATATTATAACCAGTGATAAACTATTGTTATCTCAATCACATGATAATCTGACTTATTAAATTTATAGAAATCAATTTATTTAATTTAAAGTTAGTTCGGTAATTCATTTTTATTCTAGACTGATTATTTATTGAAGGATAAGTTTTTAATATACAATATTCGTTATTAAAATAAACAGGAAGGTAATATTTTACAATATAATAAATTGTGATTAAGTTTTACACATCTACTCTTATTCATAAATGACAAGACACGTAGTTGTAAAGCAACCGGAATGTCTACAAATAAAACCATGTAACAATGAGTATAGAAATTTGAAACAACATGATAGTCAAATGGATTTGGTACCATGGATTCAGTCATCTAATAACAATGTGCATAGTTATGCCCAAAAAAGTGATGTAGATTATAATGATGATGATGATGATGATGACCATGCAGATAATCGTAATGACATTCATTCAGTTTCTTCAGTATCTGATTCCTATAATCTACGTTGTTGTCTATTGTCAGCATGTTGTGAATCTTGTACATGTTTTACAATCCCAAGAAAGTATGATACTGCTTATTATGCACTACAAAAATATACAAAATATTGTCCTAGTGGTTGTCCTACTATAGTTCCAAAACCGGAAGAAGAAGAATGGAATCTACCACCAGAGAAAAATGCACGTAGTTTTGCAATGTGTCAGTGTTGTTATTCTCCAGGTGGTATAATATGCATGAAATACTTGGACATATTATGCTGTCCATTATGTCCAATGTGGGATATATGTAAAGGATGTGATTATGGTTATCGACGCTTTCGAATACAAGTCATATTAGACCGTTATAAAGATTCACACAAACGGAGATATATACCGTGTATATAAAATAAAAATGCTTGTCATTTTCAGAACACTTAAAAAATTACAATGTATTTCTATTCGTACTTAAGTTAGTTTACTACATTTTTGCAATAAAAAACAATACGATAGTTCCTTACTGTTGAAAGAATTATCTCCAAATACCTGTAAGTTATTTTTCTTCAGTATATTGAAAGAAATGAGTTTTCATGTTAATATGTTCACTGAAGTCAATCTCAGACCTGAGGCTTGTCCAGATTTCTCAATTAAGAAATAAGATAGTCATAATGAGAAAGCAAGCGTAATGCTAAGCTTAATAGGTTGCGTTTATCAGGATTTAATAACCTAACAGTGCACTTCTTCTTAGTTGGTTTCTGACATCCTGATGCACATACATCTTAGTGAATTTTGATATTCTCGTTGAGACTTATCGTCAATAGTCATCGTTTCGAAATTGTACAAAAAAGCAATCAGATTCCATATCAACTGAACAACTTGTCAGTTATAAGTTAGAAGAAAGTTAAGAGTGACCAATCCAGAAGGTAGCATCAGTCAGCAAAGTTATTTATAGTCGGACTGAGTAGTGTTGTTAGGCATTGACTATCTTGTTTGCGTTGGCTTGTTTATTGTAGCCAGTAATCGGGGACAGGTAACGCAGCTCAGAATTTTTTGCAGTAGTGCAGACGTATTCACTCTTTGTCTTCCCTTAGATCTTGGGTTTTAAAATCATCTCATACTTTCTTAGTTCATGAACTAACGCTTTCTTTTCAGATCATATTATCTATCCCTAATGTTTTCTACTACCACTGATGCTGTTATTACTCCTACTACTCTTGGATTCGTCTTTACAATTTCATCACGATATACTGCATTAACTTGAAACGATGTACATATGTCCCAGGATCTTTATTGATTATGATTGATTGTGAAGGGATCCGAATAGCTCTTTTTATGTAAAAGTTTTTGCAAGTGATGTTGTGTAGAAATACAATGAACGATTCAGAATTAAAGCCATCTAAATCGTAGAATGAAGTACAACTAAGATCCTGAGGATTCAATGTAATTATGTTCAGTACTTCTGTGAAAAGCGTATTGTTAGCAAACTATGTAAATTGTTAGATTCACCCATCGGGAAATAATTAAAGTAAAAAATACTTTATGCAATAAGGTTAAAGAAAATCTATCAAAATGTGATTATGTATGCCAAAAAGTGTTATTTTCTGAACGAACAACTTAATTTTTCAAACCTCATTATGTTACTTAGTAGTAGTATAAAATAATCCATACAAATTTACCATTGTGTAAAGATGGAACCCATGTACGAACGATACTTGGTAAATGAAGTAGGTATTTTTTATTTTAAAGCTGCGGATGATATTTAGAGACTCCTGCAATCTTTCTGTTATTAACATCGATTAAATATTAAGGTCATTACTAGCAGGACATAGATTGGATTATAGAATGTTCCATCCAGGATTGTGTTGGGGCACATTGATCGACTAAGAGCTAATTAATCAACGGATACCTAGAAAAGACTCTAGGATCTTCTTGTGTAAAATTATAAATATACTAACGTTTTTCCTACTATGATTCCTACTTCCATTCAATTTTGTTTATTTGGAACGTAGTTACATTCCTGTTCAACCATCTTCTGATTTGGGGACTAGCTAGCTAGGTTGTAACAAGAGTGATTATAGCGGGCATGGTAATATAATACGTATCTACCAGTCGATACGTAAAACGTAATTACATACCAACTAAACGGTTGAATGGAAGTAGGAATCATAGTAGGAAAAACGTTAGTATATTTATAATTTTACACAAGAAGATCCTAGAGTCTTTTCTAGGTATCCGTTGATTAATTAGCTCTTAGTCGATCAATGTGCCCCAACACAATCCTGGATGGAACATTCTATAATCCAATCTATATTCCGCTAACACCTCTCCTTTGAACAGACTCGTAGAATCTGGTGTTAGAGCTCACATGGATCTGCATGACTGGTCTATGCTTTCGATTTGTCCACCTTTTAGGCAATAAGGAAGTGGTATTACTTTTCGTTTGCACAAAGAATAGCTTGTCAGTTTTTTTGGCTTTAATTTGGAAAATGTTCAACGAAACACTAAGGTGTTCTGCGTCGAGTTTTGTTGCTGGAAATCGAAGTTGCTTTTATTCAGCATAACGCACCCAACGTCTGAACCAACTGACACCTCGTAAACCACACTTCCCTTCTTTTACATGATTCGACCAGCTATCCATGTAGGATGTTTGCTACGATAATTCATATCAAATACTTTTTGACTCACAGTGAGTAATCATCTTTGTACCCCATGATGTCGATCAAATTGCTTACCCATTGATCTGTTTTGTTGAGGCTCAAGAACAGGCATCGGACGAATGGTACTGAACTGTGTTCGTATTTTTCTGCCAAGTAAAGGTTCTGCTAGAGAGGCCCCGTTAGTTGTCTGAGGAATTGGTATAAAACACTAGATAAGCAAGAACCTCTCTAAAATCTCTTCATCGATTCCCTCTTTTGGTTTGTGCGGAGCATTTTTAAGTTTACCAAAAAACGTTCTACTTGGTCATTGGACTAGGGGTGGGATGGAGATGTTCAAACATCATTGATTCCGTTCTGCCGACAGAATTCTGAGAAGATAGCAGGCGTTAACTGTGTTCCATTGTCGCTAAATATTAACTCTGGAATCCCAAAATGACTGGATAGTTGACATAGTTTTTTAACTAACTTACGTTTGGCTGTCCCACGAGAACAATTTTTGCCGACTCACTGTATGCATTAACTACCGAAAGGTAAGTTTGTTCATGAAGTAGACCAACGAATTCCAAGTGTATACGCTGCCACGGTGACTGTGGTATTGACCATGATTGCAGTTCTTCTTTCCACGGTACTTTCATTGCTAATGTGCATCTGGTACACAAACGGGATGCTGTTCCATTTGGGTGTCTAAATGCGGCCAGTATACATAACTTCATGCCAGCGCTTTCATGCGATTTATCTCAGGATGTCTTGTGTGCAACTGTCCAAGCCCTGCTGGCCGCAGCGTATTTGGAATTATGACACTTAGACAAACAGAACAGTCATCAGTGATTGAGAGACAGTCTACGCTGATAAAACTGCTGAAGTTCTGTAGAGCTGGTCTTCGAGGGATACCCTTCTAGATGGAACTTTTTAACTTCTTGTAGGACTGGGTTTCGAGGAGTTTTTACTCTGGCTTCATCTGATGACACTGGGTTATTTTGAAAGGCATCTTCTAATCACTCCTTGTTTTGGGACCTACAGCTATGGACGCAATGATGATGTCCTCCAATCCAGGGTGTTGAACCCAAAGTAAATGAAAGAGAGCGCTAACTTGACTGATGGTGTTTGTTGACTAATACTCGATATTGAAATCATAGCTCAGAAACATTGTCGTCCAGCACTTTGATCTGCTAGTCGTATAGACAGAGATTCCTTTCCTAGAACCAACAATTGCAATGAAAGGTTTGTGATTTGTTAGTAGAGTTAATTTACGACTTTAGAGCATCTTATGGAATCTTTTAACACCGAACATGATTGAAATGGCATCTTTTTCAATCTGGTTCTAGTTACGCTCAGCCGATGTGAGTGTTCTAGCAGCATGATCAGCTGCAACACCAATTCCCAAGCGAGGGTCGAAACGCGTTAAGAGAAGCTTCAAGCTGAGCACTGATTTCACTTTGTGGAAAGATGCTTGATAATCTGCTGACCACTTTCAAGGTTTGTCATTTGATAGTAATTCATTCAAGGGACCTCTCACTCTATGAATTTTAGGTAAAAACGTGTTTTACTAACTAATTGGTCCTAACAAGGATCTTAATTGAAGGAATATCAGTTGGTCCAGGCAGCTTCTGAATGGCCTATGTGTTTTCTGGGTCTGGTTGGCGAATGTTCTTATCCAAGATGAAACCAAAATATTTGTTCGAATGCATGAAGAACGTACACTTTTCTTCACATAGCTGGAAACCACACTCCATGAACATGATTAAGTCTACCAGAAATTTCAGTCAGTTGAACTCATAGCAATGATATCATATAGATAACCTGCTGTTCCCGTTTTACCTCTTTCAACGCAATCTACATCCCGCTAAAGTGTAGTTAAATTTGAATGTAGAGAATTTCGGCTACCAATATGAAATGTAGTCAAGTTTTCGATGCACTGAACTAACAGAGAAACTTTTCATTTCGAAAACTTGGCTATAGTTTTAAAAAAGTGATTATTAAATTACATTTAATTGGTTGATAAACACTATTTGTCTGAAAATGTGATAGGCTGATGTGTTTTGTGAGTAATGAATTTAATAAATCCCAATTTCAGGTATATTTCAATTTGTTCTTATCTAAGTTACTCTTACTATGATCTGTTAATTCGCAATTGTCGTCTTAACGTTATTTACTGATAAATTTGATAGTTAAATATTGGTAAAATGCTTTTTGCGGATCGCTAGTTACCTCTGAGGTTGCTCATGACACCATCCTCTATTTCTATGGTTTATGCTCCTGATTGCTTTAAAAGTGTCTGTTAATGCTACATTTTCTTATCAGACTGTAAGTTTAGCGTATGGTAATTACTGCTATACTTTGATGTTTATTTACTGGATACTGGAATCTATGGTAAAACAACCTGTTCGATACCAAATTCAAGTGTTTAAAATGTTGAAAACAGTTGGTCGTTCGATACATGATTGCTAGAACACATTGTTAGCGGACAATAAATCTTCATCTTCGTATAAATTTTCCGAAGACTATTCGCTGTTTTCTTTAAGATTTCAAATAAACATAGTCTATTTTCCTGTTATATTGTTCACTAATTAAAGTGTCTCTAATGACTAACGAAACTTTATTCTCTATTGTGGTAGGTGATAAATTCATTTCAATATATTTATAACTTGTTAATTTTTTTATTGAAATATATATTTACCAAATTTTTAAAAAAACCTGTATATTTAAATAGGCATAAATATGTCAGAAAATCAACATTTCACTAAAGTTCTTCAATCTATTGACTTTATAAACTCGTCAGTTAGTCAGCAACAACATAGAA